CACTTTAGGTGAGCAATGTACAAACAATATTTTTGAGTGAGAGGTCTAGACTTGAAACTAGTAGAAATGCTCTATACAGTGAACTTTTTTTTAGCAAATGATTTAATTACACACCACACATCGCGTCCGAAGAAATGCAGACGTCTGATAGTAGAACGGTTCAATCAATTTGATCATTAAAGAGCGCCCGATACGTGGTTTTCAATGTTTAGAGAAAGCTTTTCTGGCTTGAGAGCATTTTTTTATATACTCATATGAAAACCCTAGCAAAAAAAGAAAACGACTATTCTCAGATGAAAACAACAAAAGGAAAGGAGGTAAAGTGCAGACTGAGCTCTAAGAAATCCTGAGGTTTAAAAAAATGTCAATATTATTGTACAAACTAAGCTAATATGTTTATAAAGATAATAATAGTCTATCAAATCTGAGATATAAACGGTCATTCATGAGAGTAAATTTACCTTGCCTTTTTTTGACTTACCAGGAACGCTCTGCTCCCTCTTTGTAGTGAATGAACATTAATAAATTGACACTTCTAATTCAAATGTAATTGTAACTTTGATTTAAAAAATTTAAAATTATTTAAAAATGATTTTACAGTGGAATTTTGGCGGTATCATTCTTTGGCACATTCCTACTGCAGTCGATCGGATTCACAGAATATACTGCATCGTTAGCCAATTGTCTTTCGGGTCTTTCTGGTACATTAGGAGCTGTTGTAGGAACTTTTGCCTTAGACCGCGTAAGTGCAGTCATTATGAGCTCATTTACCTCCTTAGAAACATTTCTAAAGTAAAATTCTGCTTTAGCTCGGTCGCCGTCTACTTGTTCTTGGATCTCTGTTGCTGCTAGCGGCAGTAAACACATCTATGATGTTGCTAGTATATTACTTCAATTATACAAAAGAAACATGGATTGGTTGGGGATTTCTCGCTTTGTTTATTGTTTTCTTATTTCTGTTCAGGTTTGTAATTTTTCCCGGAAAAAGTTTTGCTTACTAACATATACGAATTTTTAGCGCTGGAATTGGTCCAACAGCTTGGTTCCTCGGTGCCGAGCTGTCACCTGCTGGATGTCGTGCCAAAATGCAGTCAATGAGCGTCTCTGCACAGTAAGAGTTTTTTTTTTTTTTGAAGCAAATGCAAATCAAAAATCACTGCGAGCAAAAACTTTCAAAATAGCTTATAAAACCCTTCTTCTTCTTCTCAGAATTTAATCTTGCATTATTTCAACTTTAAAGGCAATAAAAGAAGATTTTCAGGTACATTTCTTGTTTTCTCTCTCCAATCATCTACTATCCGCTGAACGCTTCAGTTGGCGCATCATCTTTTTTGGTCTTCATCCTTCCGCTGACTCTTTCCGCCATCTACTTTCACAGGTATGTCCTACACTGACTGATCGTGAAAACGGTTGAAAGGAATTTTTTTTTAGAAATTTGCCTGAAACAAAGGGACGTACGACTGAGGAGATTATTGCTATATTAAGCCAAGACAACCCGAAAGACTCAGATCAAACCTTCAATGGAACAAAATAAATTGTTGTTGTCACTGTCTGTAAATTGGAGAAAATAAAGGTTTTAAATCATTTTGTAAGTTAAAAATT